GCGTCATGACTTTAAATTATAAATAAATAAAATAAGGAGAATTAATTAAAAAGCTAATACAGCAGATTATAACCTTGGGCCTGATTCCTCCTATAGCATCTATATACACGATATAATTTGCATCCAAACATTGATCAAGTGATATATTTAGGGTTGAAGACCAATAACTATCACTGCCACAGTCACGATAGATGTGAACACTTAGGAGGCCGCAGATAGAATGAGGTGGGTGCAACGGCTGGGGCCTGTATTTATAGTCCCAGAGTAAAGAGGAGAGAAGAGCAGAGAAATTGAAAGCGAGAGCGCGAGAGAGAAAGTGATATCTCTAGAGAAAGGCTTGGCTATCTGTAGTAATACAGAGAGAGAGAGAGAGAGAGGGAGAGAGAGAGATAGAGAGGGAGAGCTCTGGCAGCTCATCCGATTTCACTGTCGTACATGTTTATATAGCTAAATCAACTATTACATTATATTACCCTGCAAGGGTATTAAAACTATCTCCCAAAATTTCTCTCTGTGCATTGACAGCAAACTGCAACAAAGAGGAGCCTGCACCTTTATGAGCCCGTTTGAACAGAGCCTGGGAGCTGGGCTTTTAGCTGCAACTTCAGCGAAACAGCCTCTTGGTCCCGGCCTCGGCTTAAGTTCGTTTGGAGCGCGACTCTGTTGGCGCAAATTTGATCCAATTGTGCACTCATTTAATCGTGATCTTTATGCGACTGTACAGTTGGATGTGTTTAGCCTTTTATGTCCATCGCTCGCTTGATCTCCTTGCATTTGGCCTGCGGTGGGTGACCCACATAATTTGCAGTCCCAGTTTCTGCTCTCCGCTGTCATTGTTTCATTTAATTCGCTGCGCGGAGGCGCAGATCGCAATAATTATGTAAAAAACATGTTAAACATTTAAGGAAGTTAATTAAATGGAAAATATATGTTTATTAAACGAGCCGGGACAGCCTTAATTGCTTAGTGCTTGGGGAGGCACCAAAAAAAATCAAAAAGTATATGAAAAAACAGGACTGTGGCCAGTTTTGGCTGAAGTTAAAGCCTTTGTCTGACGAACTGGCAGCCGTGCGAAGGCCTTGTATTTACGATCAAGTGCTTTCCGGGTTCAAGATTTGATTGCTTGAAGAATGACTGGTAAAAGTCAGCAAAGTCAAGGAGATATGTAAATATGTTGTCCTTATGAGGGTTTCCTTTTTGCAAAAAAAGGGTATTACAACTTCCTATTTCATCTTGAAATAGTACTGATTCCGTATACTTCAAAAATATATAATTTTAGCTAATGATAATACCCATTATACTATTAGTAATTTGTATAATAGTTAGCCATTAATAAATATAATAATACAAATTTGTATTCATGAGCTTAAGAGCATTTTTCATGGTTCACAAATATTTGCTTATCTTCGTGGTAATTTGACCTCCGTTTTCATTGATATTCCCACAGCTTGTCCAAGTTTTATTGGCCAAAATTAGCATTGGTAAATCGCAAATCAGCTTAATTGCGTACCCCATCAGATTCGTTTGGATCTTGGCTAAATTTAGGCGTTTTTTTTTCAATATTTTTTCTATACAGACAAGCCCCTTGAAAATCGTTTTTGACATTAAGGCGTACTTCAACTTAATTTTATGCCGCATTGTCAGAGAGCTACAAAAAATCACGAACTCGAGACACTCGGGTTATGTAATTAAGCCAGTTACTGTAATTACCATAAAGATAGGCAATAATTTGGTTGCGCAGCCAACTGTAATTAAGCTGCGGCCGGAAATGGAAGTGGAATCTCTGGGAGACTCCAGGTGCGGCGGCCACTTGACAATGTCAAGGACATGGGTTTCCAAATTAATCGAACTATGAGTTTTCCATGGGGGGTTGCATTTTCTAGTTGAATTTTCGGTAACCTTTTTTTTGGCGAAAGCTTCACACACACACAGACTTTAACTGATGCTGGAGTTTCGCAATGAATAAAACATTACGAAGGCGTTGCTCTGAACCAGCAGAAACAATAACTGAAGGCGTTGCTGCTACCTCAGCTCCAGCTCCAGCTCCAGCTTCAGCTCTTGCTCCGCTGGATGTTCATGTGGCGGCCAACTGGCCAACTCGCTAGCTGTAATACGTCAATAACCGTTTAGCGTACAAATTGAAATTTTTATTAGTTACGGACAAAAACTCAGAGGGGGAAAAAAAGAGCAAACTAAACCATAGGCCCGCCGGCGATGCAACGGCAAGCAAAAGGAAAAATAATAAAAACAAAACCAGGCAGGCGGCAGCGGCTGAAGCTACTTAGACGTTTTACAATGGGTAAGAAACTTGAACTTGGTAACAAAATAAAGAATTTTATAAATTTACCAATATTCAGTTAATAAATAAATATATTAAGACTTCGTTTAAACATAGTTTTAAACCTTTCTTAAACTTATTTAAGATAGAATATCGTATAGATACAAAGACGAGAAAGGTTAGGTTTAAAGACTTCTTCAAGAGAGTCTGTAATATATTAAATTATTTCTATTGTTGAAGTTATTAAAAAATCAACAAATAATTCTTTATCAATTTATATAATGAGATGTTTAATAAGATTAAAAATTCAATGAAACCTTTCATTAAACATTTGTTAAAACCTTCTTTAAGATACCATATTAAATAGATGCAAAGACAAGTAAGAAGAGGTTTAAAGACTTCTTCAGTTTATATTATATAAGATAATTTAGAAATCTTTTATAGTTACTGAAAAATAAATTAATAACTTTTAATCAATTGATATATTTAGATGTTAAGTAAAATTAAAAATTCAATACAAAATTTCATTAACCATTTGTTAAAACCTTTTTAAGATAGCACATCTTACAGATACAAAGACATGTAAGAAAAGGTTTAAAGACTTATTCACACAGTCTAAAGAAAACAGTTAGTGAATTTATGATTTATGGCCAATATTATCTAATATTTAACCATAGTCCAGTGAATATTTAGGGGGGAGGGATTGACCGAGAGGGTGGCTGTCTTGGGAGGTGGCAGCCAAGGAAGCCACACGAATGCCGCTGCTGAGATATCGCCAGAGATTATGTTTTGTGGCGGTAGCAGCTGCCACCATTGTTTTTGTTTTTGCTGCTGTTGCATCTGATGTTGCTGTTGCATCTGATGCTGTTGCTGCTGCTGTTGTTGCTGCTGTTGGCCTTTTGGCTTTGTATCGCGGCGCTGGCATCTGTGCGATGTGCAACACTTGCAGACAACTTGGCGCGCGCGTTTTCATTTCTTTTTTTTCTTCTTCGCTCCCCCTATATTTTTCTCTAACTGTACATTTTGGGGCGGATGGGTAAATTTGTGTTTAGAAATTAGCCAGGCGGCACTCGGCACCACGCCCCAAAACTTGTCTGCCAGCCCGCAGGTGATGAAGCCATTGTCGTTGTCGTTGTCTCAACAGCATTTGCATTTGCATTTCCATTCCCATTCCCATTCCCATTACCATTTTGCATGTGTCCATGCTTCCTGTGGGGCTACTGTCTGTCTGTCTGTCTGGGGAATGCCAATGCATCCTGCTGTCATGCCAGCTACCGCACTTGGGCCACCCTCGCGGCAGCATAGGGGCCGGGTTCGCCGATAAGGCAGCTGATAACAGGGGAGTCTTCCAGGTGGCAAGGCTGCTGTCTTATCGGACAGGCGCATGCACTGGAAACAAGTATTTAGTTGGGCTTGAATTTCCCTTTAGGGACTAGAAATAAAAACTCCTCTAAAGGTTATTAGCCAATAAAACATGTTACTTAAGTGTTTCCGCTCTTGGCTCATTTGGCAAATCTCTTGGGCTTTCCTGGTAAGCTTGGTTCAAAGTCTTAGTGTATATATTTAAGTTTTTAAAGGCTATTTCGTGCTCTTTTTTGTGCGTGCTGGCAGCCATAAACGCGCCCTGCACTTGCCGTTGTCACCTGGTGGCGCACCTGAGACTCAGGTGCTATTTATATATACATATATATATCTGTATAGTATAGTAAATGGTACCTATAGTTAGTGCGCCGGCAGGCAGTGGGTTTGTTTGTCTAGTCAGCGGATCTCGGAATGGGGCACAATCAATGGACCCGCAACATGCGACGCGGCAGTTGCTAAATGTTGCAAATGCTAAATGGCAGGCTGGCCGGCGAACTGGGTTAAGTGCAACCTCCGCCGAGATGCCTCTCTCTCTCTCTCTAGCGACTTGCAATTTATGCATTTCGTGTTTACAGTTTTATGATTATGTTGTGCCCAACACTAGCCACAAATGAACAAAACAATCAGCAAAGCAAACGTTGCAACATTTTTCGCTTTGCCGGCGATCAAGGCCGCTTCAAGCGATAAATTACAAGTTTTTCTAAGATTTTTTTTTTTTTGCAAAACGGAAACGGTTATATGCTAAAGAAAAACCCCCTCAATAGTTCCAGCGTTGGCGTCTAATGAGCTGTGACTGCGCCCAGCTTTTGGGGCTGCCTTTCACAATGCCACCAAGTCCCGTGGCCGAAAATCTAATTAAATGCTATCGTGCTAATAATCAGCGAATTTACGAATAGAAACAAGAAAAGTAATAATAAAGTAAGAAAAAGAGAGATATAATAAGAAAACAAGTAGGAAAAGAAACTTTCTAAAGCCCGTGAGAGTGACGCCTTTTGCCTATGTTATAAAAAATCGCTCAAGCGGGCTAATTATGAACGCCTAATTACAAAGACGGATGCCACAAGTCGCTGCCACTGCCACGGCCACTCGGTGGGGCCTTAGTGGCGTGCGAAAAGTTCAGCACAAAAGCAAAAAAAAAAAAAACAAAAAAACTGGCTGCCGAGCGAGTTTTGGAGCGGTCTTGAGTTATGATTCCAACAGGCCAGAGTCGCGCGTGGCAAGTGCACTTGGAGAAAAGTGGGCCAAGAAGAATTATAACTACATATCGTGGTCAGCACGCCTTAGAGATAGGTTTTAAGAACATATAGTACAAGTTAGAAATAGATATGTTGTAACCTTCCATAAGAAAACAGAAGAGCGCTTTGCTGTTTCAGAAATAATCCGAATTGAACATACAATTTAATTCTTTAACACATTAAATATTCAAGATTTCTACTTTGGCAAACTGCAACTGACCACCTTTGTTGCCAACTCACATTTGTTGGCATCTGTGACACCTTTACAGGCCGGAACACTTCCTTTGTACACCCCATTGGCAATAATTCCTTGCTTTTCGTATACGCAATGGTAGTAACACTTGACATTCATATCATCCATATCCTTGAGATCCTTCTCGCCTACTTTCTCTTTTTCAGAACATTCATCACTTATTTCAGGTGTCGTATCCACCCACTTAAAAAAATGTAAAGTAAGTAAAGTTTTTGGGGAGAGAACTTTCTTACTCACACCATCGAAGCAGTTGAGAGATCCCAGGCCAAGGATGAAAATCAAAAGAGTTAACGAATTCATTTTGAAGACTGAGATAGTCTGACATTTTCAAGTTTGATTTATACTGATATTAATCACAATAACTTAATGTGATTGGCTCTGGTTTAATAGATTTTCAATGCTTACTTAACTTACTTAATGGTAAATTAAAGCGATATTTTTAAAATATTTTAAAATCTAGTTTAAAAAATGCTGTGTTGGGATAAATAAAAATGGTAAATTGGAAAAACCCTAAACCCATCTATTTAATGTCCAGGTTTCAATTTATATATATTTATCAATATATATTTAATACATTCATATTTTCAACATTCATTTGTCCTTCAACATACTGCAAAGGATAATCTTTCGTGCCAGCTCACATTTGTTATCATCTTCGATACCCTCACACCACTGATCACCACCGATATAAGTCCCATTGAGAATAATTCCTTTCATTTCGTATACGCAATGGTAGTAGCACTTGACATTCATGTCATCCAAGTTCATAAGATCCTTACCGCGTACGTTCGCTTGTTCTTCACATAGCCTTCTTCTTTTAGGTCTTGTTTCCACCCACTTTCAAAATAAAATATATATAAAATAAGTAAATTCTTTGGGAGATAGCTTTTCTACTCACAACACGAGAACAAGTTATAGATCCCAGGACAAATAAGAAAGTTAAGACAGTGAACAGATTCATTTTGCAGACTATTGTTAGTCAAACATTTTCAAGCTGGTTTTATATTCATATTTCTCATTGAAAATTTGCTAAATGTGATTTGCTTTGGTTTGTTAAACTTAATAAGTAGTTGCGTAACAGTAGATTAAAGCGTTAAATACTTTCACTTGAATCTTAGTATTATTTCCAAATAGTTTTTTCTTTAGGTGTATCTGGTATATCGAAACAGCAGCTCTGCGGCCGTCTGACTGACTTTTCCGCCAGTGGTTTGATTTATGTGGCAACTGTGACACGGCTACGGCAACGGCGGTGAGCGTTCTCTATAATTACGAAGCCAGTTGATCCGGCGCAGACACGGCGGCGGCTCCAGCTCAACCAAAAGACCACGAAAATATAATCGAGTGTGGGGATACACATACCCATACCCATACCCAAGACTTGGATGTCTTCGACATCCGCATCCAAATCTCCCCCCCTTAGTCTGGAGGGGCCAAATGTTTTCACCACATGCTGTCAGCGCGTTTTCCGGCCGCCTCTTTCAGGGTCTAATGTTGTCAGCACAACCTTGGGATGCACAAAAATGACAACAAATTCACGGACGCTGTGAACTTAGCACCCGCGAACCACAGCATCGCACATTGTAAAGTTCTAGAAAGATGAGCTTCCTGGAATGCTGGCATTACAGTCTGCATTCAGCAGAAGCCTGGTAGTGTTGACAGCCTTCTTTGTAGTCATCTGGCTAACAAGATACAAATAATATCGAATCGAAGGCTAAACAATGGGGTAGACTTCTGGCATATGGCTTGCACTCATTGAAAGTAACAGAGGGGAAAGCTTAATGCCAATACTTGTATCTTTAAATAGATTCTGAAAAGAAATATAAGTTTACCACTTACTCAACTAATAATTAATATGCTAAGGCCAGTATCGAATCAAATTAGGTGAGTTCCTTCTTTCCAGTAAAACTTCCGGTTATACCTTTCCTGTGATTAAAGTATCAGAAAAATACTATAAGAGCCACGCCTTCATTGAAGTACGAAGACCAAGCTCTAGCGAACGTAACAAGTATCCAAAAGATAGCAAAAGGTACATCTACTGCCACTCTGGTTGACTGCTGACTGACCCATTTATGCAGATTTCTTAACCGCAACAACAATGGCCAGTACAACAATAACCAAAAGACCAGCCACCGTGTACTGCAAGTACAAGTACAAAGTACAAGAGTACCACGCAACACTCGGGTCGCCCTTGTTGTGTTTCTTTTAAGGCTGCGGCGATCTTGTCGCCGAGAATTTATTGTCATTTGTCATGTTGATTTATATTTGCTCATTGGCATTAAATGCTTAACAAGATTTTCACGCCGACCGCTTGACCCAAAGCTGGCGGTAACCTTGAGCGAGCTTCCCCTCGGCTACCTTTTTGGCCAAAAAGGCAGCTGACTCTGGCATGATCCAGGTTTTTGGTCTTTCATTGTTTTAAGAAAAAGAGCACTGGGAGAAAATGCGGGAATAACATGGCCTATTTTAAATCGTTTATTTTATAATAGATATTACACCAAATTTAATGGATATAATATCATTTCTAATTGACTTTCTTGTTCTATTTTATAATACATTCTTTTGTATCTGTTCAACAAAGAACATTCTGCTTGTAGCAGGAGTTTTTTTTTGGTTGAGATACTTATGTACCATATATATTTACACAATCCTGACTCACTCGTTATCCCAGGGCGAGGTGTCACTTTATATAGCCTGGCCTGGCCCGTTTATTTGCCATCGGGCATTTGTAATATTTTTGAAGGATCTGAAAAAGAGACTTATCTCCCTGAGTCAGGCTGACTTTGTCTGCTTCCCGGTCACAAAAAAACAAAAACAAACAAACAGCACTTAAAATGTGTGTTCCTTGTTTACCCGCCATGTAGCAAGTGGCTGGCAGGCGGAAGTGAAATAGTGAAATAGCCAAGGACCCCAAAGGCGAAAGGCAAACACGCGCCGCGCCGAGACGTGACTACCTGTGGTACGAATAGAGCCATAAATACGCTCGTTTGTCATAGAACAGGGGGAGCCATAGGGATCCAGGGAGATCTTTTGCTATTGAACACTCTCCAGGTATCCGCCCATTAATCATGCAATTGTTGGCTTGCAAACCCAAAAAAACCGGCAGCACAAAATTCGCAGCGAGGCTCATCAATAAATACTTGTAATTTGCGGTCAATAGAAAATGCAGTCTCTCTGTGTGCGTGGGGTGGCGCTTAGATTAATGAAGGCGTCGCGATTAGAATCAATTTGAATTAATGAACATTTAAGGCGACTTTGGCCACAAACAAGCACAGCGGGTGATGGCGGATTTTGATTTGCAGCAGCAGAAAACAAGAAAGGGAACTAACTTTTGAGAAAACGAAATTGAAATACCCTTTGATATCGATTCTGAAATCGATTATAGTTAAGCCTGAAATATTTGCATCCCTTGAACCGATATTTATCGATAATTTTTTATTTGATAATTTTTGCGTCAAATCAAAGTTTCAAAAACTCATAACTCTGCCAAAAAGGCATTAATTTTAATTCGGATAGTTTTGCTATGCTAGTTTTTATTAAGTTAATAAATCTGCAAGCTCAGTTTAAAATTCAAAATTTTATAAATTTTTGTCAAATTTTGACGCTGTAACCCCTTATAAAATTTTGAAAAAATTGCCAAAAATATTTTTTTCTCCCGAAGTTGTCTAAATCGAATCGCCTGTTTATGCTGATCAAGAATATATATGCTTTATAGGGTCAGAAATGACTCCTTCTCAATGTTTCATGCTTTTGACTAAATGTACAATACCTTGCAAACATATCGAAAAAAATACATGGAAAACAAAAGACTTAGGCAACGAACTTGACGGAGCAAACTGTCGAGATTTTTCGGGCCAAAATGTCGGCCCGCCCAGCTGGATTAGGCCGACCAGTCTTATTAATTTCACATGCCTCGGCCATAATGAAAAGCGATTTTATATAGCCCCGTACCAGACCGGGACCGTGGCTGAGGCTGAGGCCGCCTGCCGTCGTTTATAATCAAGTTAAATGCGCGCGCGTCCATAAAAACTTGACTTATCAGCCAAGCGGTGCGGCAAGGCCAAACAAATGGCGCAAATGCATTTTTTTTGGGGTGGGGAGGAAGGTGATGGGGGATTCACATTTGCATCCCCCGAATATCTGCATATCGCACCGTTTGGAGACAGTGCGACCATTAACAGAACGATGTCGCTGACTGAGTGCAGGCAGGCGAAGCGAGCATTGCCTTTTTTATGGCACTTTTCACTCGTCTCTCGGTACGGTTTCTGTTCGGTTTTTTATTATTATTTTGTGTGTGTGTGTGTTTGGTTTGAATTTTGCTTTTGGAAAATCCCCATACAACTTTATTGCCCAGCTTCCCGCTGTGTGCAAATATATAACTCTGTTTATCGCATTTCATACCGCATTATTTATGCCATAAAGAAAAAGTGAACTCGAGGAGAAAACATAAGATCAAAGGTGGCGGTTCGGTTTTGGGTGATTTTCTTTTTATCAATGCGAAAGAATATTTTAAAATATGTTTCTCAGCTATAAATATAAATATAAGAAACTAGATAAAATCATTAGAAAGTTATTCAATTAATTAAAATATGGAAATATAATCTAAATTGATTGTTTATCCAAGTTTTTCTGATCATATTCCAACTTTATATTAGATTTTCTTAAATAATTAATTATTTAATTACCATTTCCGATATCTAACGAATCTAAAAATCTCTCAGAGAAAATTCATCTCTTTTCGTATATAAAATCATAAATTAGAGCCGAAAGCTGAGAAGACCCCCAAAAAGATCCAACTGATAATCTCGATTTCTTTCGGTGCACACTCTAAACCAAGTCTCTTTTGCTGCCATTGGCATTGAAAACTATTTAAAATATGCTCGAAAATATCTGCGTGGCATCGCTTTTTGTTTCTCGATTTTTTCGCCTTTGTTGTGTTTACCTTTTCGCTGGAAATCAAGGCGACCAGACGCTATCGATCAAGCATGCAACCCATCACACGAGACGGGATAGGGATTGGGATTGGGATTGGGTTTGGGATTCGGATTGGGATCTGGATTGGGGAGCTCCTCGCACGCTTGCTTAGATTTCAACACAATGGAGTGTCTTCTTCTGTCGAGGGGTTTCGATTTCAAAGGCCGGCAAGGGAACCCGGGCACGTACATAGATCTGCTGGGTATTCGACAAGGGAAATGGGACCGGGGGATGAGGGATATGGGATATGGGAATCCCTCTGTGACGTTGATGCGCACCTACGATAAGGATGAGACCGGCAAGACACACACCTCAAAATGTTATGAAATTTTCAAAAACGAAAAAAAAGAGGAAAGAAAAGATGAAAGAGGAAAGCTAATAGAGGCAGTTGATGAAAGTGAGAGAGAGAGCCAAAAACAGGAAAGAGTTGACACTGCTAATCCTGACGAATCGTTGTTCAGGTTCATTCAACAAAATGCTAAGGAAACTCCATTCTTTCCCTTTTATATATCTCTATGATTTATGATTATAAATATTTCATTTATAGAACATTTTAATAAGTATATTTAAGTCAAGAACTCGTTAAAAATGGGTTGCTTAGTTAATAAAGAGAGTACTATAATTAAATAAACTTAAGAACCAAAACTTCTTTGGCGGTCGAAACTAATTAACTAAGAAATACTATAGTGTATAATTTTATTTTTAAGACTTTAATTATAAGCTTTAATTCCATAGCATTCGAAACTAATGAACTGGAAAAAGGCGTTTATAATATATATTATAGAAACTTTAAATTAACAAAGTTATTAGGTAAACTATCTTAGAGCAAAGTACAAGTAATTTATGGTTAAAATCCTTCACTCTTAAGTTATCTAAATATTTTCTTCCGTTTAAATACCAACTTTTGTTTAAATGTTACTTAGCCAGAGTTTGAGAAAGTGTTAACCCCATGCAGGCGCTAGTCAAATTGAGACAACGAAAGTGTTAAGATGCCTTCCTGGAATCGGGAACTAGACGGCTATTAAATGCCTGTCGAGTCATAAATCCGGAGATAAGACAATGCCCCACTGATAAGGCCTGAAAGATTTAAGACAAACGATAAACGCAACGACGGCCAGACTGCACAAAGATGAGAGCGGCGGCGGGTCCATAAAATCCAGAAACCGAAAACACACACACTAAATAAGCCATAGGAGAGACTCTAACATGGGGTTTTATCACCGCTTGTTAGCATCGAAAAGTGTGTAAATTTACACACAAAAACCCCCATTGAACACACTGGGAAAACATTTGTCAAACGACGAAAAAGTATAGCGTTTAGAACATTAGCTCCTAAGTTTATATTGAATGATTTTAAATAATACAATGAGCAATGAAGTGATAATCTTAAAAGGAACATCCATGTATGATTATTTTACTAAGATATTCTAAAAATTAAGGTCTTTAATGTACTAAATATATTGAAATATATTAGTTTTAAATGTATTATTTATTATTTCCTAATTTCATAGAAATTTCAACGTTTCGTATTCAAAATACTATTTACTTATTCAAAAAGGACATACTTAATTTTAGAATGTAATATTTGTAAATTTTGTTCTTTAAATACTTTCTTATTGAAGTATAGATATATATTTTTCTGCAAGGTTTATCTCAAGGAAAATCTATTATACTTAAATTTGTTATTTCAAATTTTCTTTCTGTGCACTCAGCTGGAGTTCTCTCCCATTTTCAATAACTTTTCATTTGGTTTTACTTTCAATGAACAGTTCTCAAATAATTTTTATGCTTGAAGTTGCAACATGTTTGATGTTGTTTCGATCGGCGCTGTTAGCTGCTCAAAATGAGCTGTTAGAGCGCATAGTGAGCGCAACTATAGGTTGTTAACAGTACAAGAGTATCTGTGAGATAAAGAGAGCATTAAGAGAGAGTATCTTCAAGATACAAAAAGCATTTCAAGCGAATATTTAATGTATTTTTAATTATTTGAAAAATTAAAAATAATATTATTTGAATGAGGCTTAAAGAAGTTTAGTCTCCGAGGACCTAATAACTTATTTAAAGCTAATTTAAATTGAAAAAATACTTTTAAAGGTTTAAATTTCAAATTTAATTCTTAAAATAATAAATAAAAAAAGGGTCTACAAATTCAATTGAAATTCAATTTAATTATAATAAATACAGCTCATGTTATTTAATATAACATTCTAGTTTTTAACCATTGTTTTGATTCTACAAAACCTGCGTATAAAGAGTATCTCTCAGATACATTAAAGAGCACTTGAAGAGAGCATTTTCTGGTTTCTCGCAAACGAACCGAAGGCACGTTCGGTGCCGCACGAGCACCGTGGCGCACTTTTTGAAAAAATTCAAACAGTCGCTCGCAGAGCGTCGTCGTGAACAGTCTAAAAACAGAAATAACAGGCAGTTGCGAGCATAACGATTCTGGGATCCAAAGATCCAAAATACCCGACTTCGATTATCGCGATACGAAACTGTGAGTGTGCGCGCGAGTGTATCTGTGGGATTCGCTTTATGAATGGGTTACGAACGGTACGGGCGTGAACGAATTTTTCGGAGAAAACCAAAACCAAAACCAAAACCGAACCCAAAACCGCGATAAACAGAGGCACACACACTCATACACACATGTAGAGTAACTTACTCATTCGCTCCCTCGATTTAATAAGAAAGAAAACGTTTGTTTTTCGCTTCCAAACAAGTAAATAAATAAATAAAATAAAAAAAAACCGAAGCGCGGAAATTGCAGTTGAAAACAAAACAAACGCATCGTTTGTCATGGCAGCTCTTGCATATTTTGGCTTAAATTTCGCACGGTTTCTACAGTTTTACCTTAGGGAAAATTAACTATTCAAGTTTTATAATGGAAACTAAACATTTAAAAATAGAATTAACATATTCAAAAGAATAAAAATTGGAAGTGTAATAGCTTGAATCAGAAAATGTTTAAAATAAACTATATATTTTTCTTATATTTTCCTGAAATGTTTTCATGTTTAAATTCAAATAAATACAGTGACTTAATAAAAGTGTTGAAAGCTGCTCAATACTAGTTTAAAATAGTTTCCCAATCTCTTATTTTGAATATTATTATACTTTGCTTTTCGAAGAATAAATAAATGGAGCTTACTCATGTAAAAAACAGAAGAAATAATAGGTTTTGCTTACTTCTAACAAGCATAAATATTTTATTGTTATATTTTAAAATATTTTAAACTTAATTTCATTTTAAAAACTCACCCTTTTCCTTTGTTTTCCACACATTGAGAGTTCACTGTAAATAAAAACAACAAACAGGAAAAAGTATTAAACTAAATAGTGCATAAAAATCAGTTTTCTTTGCGGTTCGGTTCCGTTCGGTGTGTGTTGGTGTGTGTTTTTGTGTGTGTGTGTTTCTGTTTCCCCTATCTTTCGCTTCCTCTTCTCCTCCACTATTCCCCTTTACCCACCTCTTTCGCTCTAAATGCGTGAGAGAACGAGAACGCGTGTGTGTTGTGCCTTTGTTTTCGATTTCGATTACTAAAAAATTTCTCATACGCCCCATAGAAAAAATAAATAAATAAAAAAATCAAAAACATGACGAAATGTTATTGTTGTTGAAAACGAGCGCAAAACAAAATATAAAAAGTATAAATTAAAGTGATTAAACGTAAAAAAAAAACAAAACAACGATTCGAAATTAAAAGCAAAAGCAATATCTATCTTTATATTTAAAAAAGTTTTGTGAAATATATATACGAAAAGCGAAATACTATTTCGTTGGTGTTGTGAAACAAAAAAAGCAAAGTTACAGATACTCTCTCCCTGCAGAACGCATCTAAAAAACAAAGGTAAATAGAGCTTATCTGTGGAGGTGTGTAAACAAAAGTGGAATAAGGAACCACACGGAGATATCTCGAGAGAACCATAAAGATCTGCAGATCTGCCGGGTTTATAAGCGCTTGTATCTCTCCCTCTCTTAGGGGGGAGTTCCTAGAACAAAACGTCAGAGTTTAGATACATTTTGGTGATAGTCTAGTCTCCTCCTCTCCCCCCCTGCAGGTTACTTTCACTCGAAAGTTAGATACACCTCGGTTCTCAGCACTCGGTTTTTAGTTCGTTTATCTTGTCAGTCGCCGACTTGACTTGAAAACGATAGTGATAACCTATATAATATATGTTTACAGTTAGTTAGTCGCTGGCATTATCTGCCCCGACGCGTTCTTTCATCACTTCAAGCCTCAAGTTCTCAAGTTCTCTGTTGCAAGTTATCTTTGATCAGTTTTTTTGGGCTTTCTGGGGTTCTTTAAGCATTTCCGCTGCTGCTGCTTCTGCGGTTTTTTCGATTCATAAATCATTTAATCGTCATGCAGTTTGTTTACACTCTTGTTGGGTGGTAGTTTTTTTTTACCCCCCTTGTTTTGGATTATTATTTACCTTGCTTTAAAATTCGATGTCGTTGTTCTTACTGATTTCATGGGAATGTCCGACAACAACAACAACGGTTGCCCATTGATTTGCATAGTTATTGAGAACTCGAAGCTAAATAATGAAATTTCCGGTTCTATATGGTGCGTCATCGATCGCTTAACCCCCTTTAAACGGCAAACACAGGGGACCCGTTTTGTCTGCCATAACAGCCACGCTCTCGATATGGTTCGCCCTTTTTTTTGTATTTTGTTTTTAATTTTTACAGCATAGCCATAGGTATAGCCACCTTATATGTTTATATATATCTACCTTTATGTATATAAACTTGTTTCGTTGTCTCTGGCCTTTGTTGTGTGTCTTACCCCACATATGTATATTTACCGATATGTATGTAAATAAGTTCACAACGAAACACTTGTGCTCGGTGGTTGATAAACCAGCCAATTTCAGGTAAATAAAACTGAAACAATATTTCGGCTAGGGAAAAGGCTACATAAACATGAGTTTAACTTATTTAAATTTCTTAAAATGTACAAGGAATTGAGTACCTCATTAAATTTCAAATGCAGATTAGGCAATTCTTTACATTTTTAAAAAAAGTGCAGAAAGTTTATTCATTATTTATAATTAAAACATATGTAATGGTTAGTTACTTGTTTAGGATTCTTAGAAATATATTTCTTATTTAAATTTGAACGTATTTCAAAGCGTTACTCTACAAATTCAATAAGTAAAACTCAGTTTTAAGCCCTCTTTAATATATTCGTTATTTAAATTTCAACTTATTTCTAAACTTTACTTTACAATATCTTCAATTTTAAACTATCTTTTAAGAGCCTTAAAAAGTCACAACATTTACATAAAAATACATACTGTCACCAAATAGATCCTTCAATCCCCGAGTTTAAGTTGGAATCACTCCCTTCAATCCCAGAGTTTAAGTTCAAATCTTTCCCTGAAATCTCCCTCGATTCGTTTTAATTAAAAATTAAAAATAGAAAAAGAAAAAGACCAAAGTTGTTGTATCCTCTCTCACTCACTTAGAATGTTAATCTCTACCAGATTTCTGCCGACTTGAATCGCTTTCCCCGCTTTTGCCTGTCTGGCTGTTCAGAAAAACATTTATCAGGCGGGGCAGGTTCATCAATTTCGTGTGTGTGATAAATGTCGTACAAGAATTTACACAAATATGCATGTGTCTCCGCTGCCAGCTGCCGTGGTACACCGGCTGAGTTGACAAAATGATTTGTTTTGGGCGCCCCAAGCAGCTCCATGATCCCCACGATCAGCATTGAGCGCCACCCTGAACTTATGGCCAGTAAAGAATCTCAGGCGGGGGAAGCAGAAATCTACACAATCTGGAGCCAGAAAACAGCCACTAATTCCAAACAATGTAAGGCATTATTTATTTTTAACTGAGGTCATCAGCGTAGACATTGTCTATTACAGAAAAAAATGAAAAAAAAAACACCCGCTGCCGGTGCCTCTCTCTTTCTGTTATTTCTCTCTCTCTCTCTCTTAGTGTGTTTGTCTGCTTTTGAAATTATTCCTATCAGCTCCCCCTCTGGTTCTCAAATTCTCTGGTTCTCTATGCTCTGTTCTCTATGTTCTGTACTCTATTCTCTATTCTCTATTCTCTGGTGGGTACACCGAAAGAATTGGTACTAGATTATATTTAAGAACTTTTAAAATTAGCAAGAATTGTTAATAGAGAATTTATAGAGAACTTTTAGATGGAATATTTCTAGTAGAAAATGTTAAAATACAATATTAATATAAATAATTCTTGCATGTTTAGAGAATTAGTATTGGAGAATTTTTGAGAGAACTTATAGATGAAGTATTTCTAATAGAAAATGTGAAAATAAAATATTAATATTAATACTTGGTGAATGTTTTCTTATTTAGTTTTGAAACCATAGCATTTTTTAAGTTCTTTCAGTATTAGAAGCCTTCTTAGTTTGATTTTTGAAAATTTCTTCCCCTGTATAGTTTCGAGTTCGATGGTGTTGTTCTTATTTCAAAGTTAATGTGCTTTGGTGCTGTTTTTGTTTAGCTGTTGAACTCGAACTCTCACCAAATTATGCCACACACACTCTTAGACACACACACAACACACACCCCAGCTGGTGGAAATACAAGCGAAAAGACCCGGGATCCAAAGATCCCGAGATCCAAGACCCAATGCCAGCGGGGCCAGCAAACATTATTTGAAATATTTATGCTTGACTTTTGCGCCTCAATGACTTTTGAATTGCCTTGCCTTTGGCTGCCAGTTTTTCCACAAAAACACACACACTCACACACACACGCACATTCTGCAACGTATCCGTAAACGTATCTGTGTATCTTTGCGTTTTATGTTGTTGGTTCTTAAAGATACGCGGCGATCTTTTGTGTATTTTTACTTGCCGGCATGCACATATGTTGCATCAATGGTATGGATTTTCTAGGATCGAAAAATCTCTCTATCCAGTAAGAAACTCTAGAGAAAGATAGGGGGAAAAGACCGCGAAGCAAAGGAAAACATTAAAGACACATTAACCTGCATTTAATTTGTCAATATTAGCCCGAAGAAATGCCTTTCTCGGGTTCTCAGGGGCCACACACTTTTCATTTCTTTCGGCTTCGAAAGTGAGGCAACACACAACACACAACACAACGAGGCAATAACTCTGCACGACACAGAGTCCCAGCATAAGTCCAACAATCTATACTCTATAGTCTCCAGACTGAATGTTGACCTTTTCACAGCTGGAACCATCTTTCACATCGACTCAGAGTGTTCTTTTTTTTTATTTTTTGGTCCCAAAGCATTTTGGCCCATTGCTCGGCCGCTTGTCAATTTCTGTCAGTTGCTTGTCAAAAAATTTGTTTGGCTGTAAAAATGCAGTGAAAACGTTTAACAGAGTAAAAAGACAGAAAAAAAACAATCTGAAAATCAAAAGAAAGAAAAAATAGAGAGAGAGAAAAAAAAAACCAAACACGATTTTCATGTAAGCCATCCAGAAAATGATTGACGAACCGCGCTGACGAGCTGACTAACTTCTCTCGCCAGAAGAAAAGAAAAAATATATAGTGTATGTACGTGCACGTGGAGAAATAATTAATTTTAAATGCTTTTAAGGTTGGAAAAGAGATCGTTGAATAATGGAAAATATTCTTGACTTGCATATAGTTATTATACTATATTGAAATGTTCTTACTTTTGCTAAGGAAATACTTATTGTAAGAGTCGAGCCTTCTTCTCCTTTTTCGGACAATTTTTATACTCAAAGGTTGCTTAAATCTTTTTTGGAAAGAATCCTTACTATCCTTACTTTTAAAATATATTTTTAAATAAATTTTTGAAAATCTAAATTCCTTTTAAATATTTTTTCTTTGATTAAACTTTTCCTATGCCAATTAATATACAATTTCTTTAAAGATTCCTGCAAAAATGCATATCTAAATATAAAAGTGATCTTCTTAGTGCCCAGTTTAAGATGATATAATGTTATGATTTATATTAGCTTCCCCCTCAATAATTTCTCTCTCTGCACTTGTAGTATTGTAAAATTCCCAGTCGTTTGCTGCATAATTAACCTTTTGGCCGGACTTTTGAGGTATGTGCCATAGTACAAATACGAGCTTGCACTGAGCACTCAACATCCATGTCCGTTCATTCGTTTTACTCGCTCGGTCTGTTTGCTTTTGTTTACAGCGTAATTTGTTGATAAATAAATGTGAAAATGCAAACAAATCGGGGCGGACACAACAACCGTGCTACGCAATCGAAGCCCGCTGACTAATGGCTTCCAAAGAAACTAATCCCCCCTAGTTCAGTCAGCCCTTTTTCCCCTCATTTTCCACCTCAATAAAATGCGTATATATAACACCCAAAGGCCCCAAGGGCTAGTTCTGTTGGACACGTAGAATTATTGACCGGTAATTCCCTTTATGGCATACTTGAAATTTTGCCAATTTGTCTTCAGTTGACACGTCTCGCCTGGTGCGTAGGTGTCAACTTATTTTTTTTGTCACCTTAGAAATTATGGTGGCATTATCTCACCTGCCAGCGAAGGGCGTCATTAAAAATGAGCAAAATTAGCATTTCTTAACGAACTCGGTTATTATTAATTTCGTTTTATTATTAGCCCGTTGCCTTTCCGGACAGATCTCTATTTTTTTTTTTGGCAAAAATCACTAATTCAGTCACGGCAGGTGATCTCTCTCTCTCTGATGATCTGATGATCTAATCCGTGGCACTCAATTGGCCGTAATTAGGCTCAATTAATTTGGCATTAAAGCGGAAATGGAAAAGTGCTGGTTCAAGCGGATGCAAAACACGGTGAAAAAAAATATACCATAACAAGACACCAGGGAGAAAGAAAGAAAAAAAAGTATATTTGCGAGAAGGAAAAACCACGAAAAGAGCGTT